TATTTTTAGCTTACGTATGTATTCTGCATTTTGTATATTTTGTAAGTAATTGCTGTTGTCTAATTTAGTCTTTTTCTTATGTACTTTTAGTTATTTAATTTTTTTTTTAGAGAAATGCTTTTGCTTGTACATGTTGTGTATTAATCTCAATAAAAATGTGATAACAAAAAAAAGAAAGATTCTCCATGTGCCAGCGCCCGTTTCAGATCATCACGGATCTCTGTCATACCTCCAACCACGCCATGTCTTGGGTGTGGATTCTGGAAAGGCGATAATTTAATCATTCGCAGCGAAAACTAATTCCACAATGACTTTCAAACCCCCCCTGTGCACCAGCTATATATAGGTTGGCGCTCGATATGGTTATCGATGACTCACGCTGTTTGCCAGGGCCTCAATCAGCGTGTGGCAGTGCAGTAACATGAAACACATCATAGTGTCACAGCAGAAAACGCTGCTAGGGCGGTTTTAGACAACAGAAATTCTTCGTCAACAATATATATATATATATATATATTTTTTTTTATTTGATTAGATGTATTTCGAATGTGTAAAACAATAATACAAAAAAAAAATAATAATAATGAAATTTAAAGGTGGGGTAGGTAAGTTTGAGAAACCGGCTCGAGATCGCTAGAATTTGAAAATACACAACCGCAGAAAATCTGCCACTTCCTTACAGAGCCCCTCCTCCAACACACACGAACGCACACATGACCAATGAGGGCACGAGATCAGTTTGTGCACAGATGGAAGGCTGACAGGCAGGTAGGCCATCCAGTTATTTTAGCCGGGCCGGCTCAGATGATTGGTTGTGCTTTTCACAGTACTACGGCTTCCACAGATGACATCTTTTTATGGATTTTTTGTCAAAGCACTTAAGATATTCATTGCTATCGGGATGTTAAGAGCATTCCATGGAATATAACAAAAAATGTATCTCGAGCCGGTTTCTCAAACTTACCTACCCTATCTTTAAAGGTGGGGTAGGTAAGTTTGAGAAACCGGCTCGAGATACACTATGTGTTGGAGGAGGGGCTCTGTAAGGAAGCGGCTGTGTATTTTCAAATTTTAGCGCACTCAAGCTGGTTTCTCCAAAATTACCTACCCCACCTTTAACATGAGAATTATTATACAATACAAAATTAAGCAGTGTCAAATTAATATACAAAAATATATCTGATTCTAAATTATATATAAACAAATGATCTACTTCATTACACATCCGAAAAGGGGTGGGAAGAAGTTAACACTTATTTAATCCCACCCCTTCTCCCAAAAACTAAATTATTAACATATATATATATATATTTTTTCTTAGGATATAGTTCATTTAATCTTCAAAATGTGTCTTGCTCACAAAGAATCATAAAAAAGCACCACTTGACTCATTCATTCCTTGGAAAGAAGTCATCCATAATGAAAAAACTATTAAAATAACTGACCAATTTGTCAACTAATCGAATAAGAGTGGGCAGCTATTAAAATTAAGATTTCTAACAACTTAAACAGTTTTGAGGAGGAAATACTAAAAAAAAACATTATGAGTTAACTCTGTTTCACTTTTCTTTCGTCAATGTATTGATTAGGAGCTGGGCCAAATATAAATCTTCATTGTTTAATATTTTATCTCATTTTTTACAGCCAGCCAATAACTTAGTCAAACTTGTAGCATGAGGACTTTTTATGTAGACGGTTACAGTTTGATAATTTATAATAACAATGGATTTCTAATGTTATAATCATTATATTGACGTGTCCAAAACATTATGTAAAGGAACTATTATTGTTCCTATATTACTATGTTGAGCTCATTGTTGTTATACCGGGGGGGGAAGGTCTTACCATTTATCCTGGTATCTTTTGATCATATTATCTGACGGATAAGACATGTGGATGGATATCGACCACACGTGGATGCATGTAGATCAGTCCAAACATGTTGTCTAGATCAAATCTGTTCAAATGAATATAGGTCATATCTGTGTTTGCTGTACAAAAGCACCACCAGCTCCAACATACAGCAACAACAAAGCTCAATGCTTCCCAGTGGGCCACAGACAAGAGAGAGAGGCACCTCATCAATCCTGCTGACTGCACCCATGGGTCGGTTTCAAAACATGCATTGTACTTTGACCTGAATCGAACCAGCAGTCATTGTGGCAGGCAGTCATATGCCCCAAGGCATGAATAATCATACTGTGAAGCATCCGGCTATAGAAGCTGGCTGGGATCCATCTGAGGCTCTGATAACCACAAGATCATTAAGTGACTACAACGGATTTCAAAGTGCAGCTAGAACAAATCCCTCAAAGAACCAGGAAGCAGGTTGTTCAGGCTGCAGATCAGTATACAAAATCGTGCTGCATACAAGATGACATCATACTTAATGAAAATCCTTTAGGAGCAATATTTACATTACCACAGCCGATGTCGATCGTTATATGTAAACGGTGAGCTAATAAAACATGCTAAACAGGGGGAAATGTAGCTGTTGTTGGGTGATAATGGCTCACTGATCACTCACCTCCTCTGCAGTTGTTTGGATCTGCGTTGAAATCACAGCATCAATTTAGCTCATCCTCTCAAGTCGATTACAAACCTTTTGGAGTAGAAAAAGTTATTTTTTAACGCTGTAAAATTCAAGCCAACGTGGGAATCTAAACGAAACAATACATTAATGTAGGAACCCATGAAATGAGCCTCTTATTTGATAAGAAATGGCAAGTATTAACAGCTGAGCATCAACTACGCCAAGCGCTGCTAGCCGTTAGCTACTGTTAGCTTTATTCGCCTAGCTTACTGTTGCTTCTCCCCGTCAAGTCAAAACAAATAAACATAACATGTTTTCGAGAAGAGTTGCATTCAATTACAATATCAAAATGTGAAATGAAAAACTGTTTTCTTCTCACCATTTCCCCATCCAAAGCTGATGAACTGGACACCGTTATTTCATCCACATCACCATCTGCAGTTCAGTGCATTAACAGCAGCTGCCACACAACTAGTTTGCGCATGCGCAGTCATGTTTATTTGCCCGGGGTCTGTTAAGGTAACAGCTTGACTGCACTGCATAGAGGGGTGGAGAAAAAGTATTGATATTCTGAATACTTGAGTAAAAGTACCAATACCACACTGTGAAAATACATTTCTAGTAAAAGTACTGCATCGAGAATGGTACTACCTTGCTTTATATCTTGTTATTGTTCAATTGTAAATTCAACATGTATATTTTCTACTTTCTTGTTTATTTCTTGTATTTTAATTTGTATTGTACAATGTTCATGTCTTTTTATGCTGCTGCAACACAAACATTTCCCAAATTGGGATCAATAAAGTACTTCTTATCTTATCTTACTCCAGTAAAAATATTTAAGAACTATTCGGAAAATGTACTTAAAGTATTAGGAGTAAAAGTACTAATTTAAAGAAAGAAATCTAAAATAAATATTAAAATATGTCAAAGCAAAAGCAGCAAATCTTCACATACAAGCTGGAACTGTGACATATTTTTGGAACAAAAACCAATTTTTCTGTTAAACTCATGGTTTTAGTTACATAAATATAGGATGGTTTAATCTATACCAAATAATCCTATTTTAAAAGTTTGTCCTAATTATTGAGTGTCAGAATCTGAATTAATAAAGTAACTAATAAATGGATCTGTAAAATAAATGTAGTAGAGTAAAAAGTACTCAATTTGCTTCCAAAATGTAGTAGAGTAGATGTATAAAGTAGTATAAAATGAAAATACTAGGGTAAAGTAGAATTACCTCAAATGTGTACTTAGTTCTTGAGTAAATGTAATAAGTTACTTTCCACCACGTTATGTCCAAACACACACTCATCGTTTTAGTAATGTCTACTTAGCAGTAGGCAAAAGATGTTACAATAATAACAGGTCAGCAAAAAGTTGTGAGCAACGTTATTCATTTTTATTACTTCATAAAATATACACAAATACTGTTGTAAATAAAGTGTGTTAAAGAACTGTACAAGATATCAGTACACAATACATAAAGTGAAATCCCCTGGCCTCTTCCTCTCCTAGACCAATCCCAACCCGACCGTCACGATGCCACTGGGTCACGTGACCTGTACAAAGGTAATTACACACACTGCTATTTACACATCCCTGCAATTGCATCAGTTATGTTTTCTATTGAATGACATCATTAAGGTTGCTGGAGGTTAAAATCCAAGAGGTGACATCAAAACTATTAGTATGTACTTTTTGCAGGAAGGAATATTGAAAGTATTACCACAAGGACAACCGTTGAAGCATGACAAAACAGAAAGGACAGGCAAACAAACACTATTTCTAATAAGTTACAGGAAGATGAAATGACACACGAATAAGAGGACAGACATATAAAAAAAATAGTTTAACATAAATAGCAGAGAAGTGGGATTAAAATCTGCATACACTTAGCAGGGATTCACTCAGTCTCACACACACACACAAAATATTAAATGACCCAGCTGGCAAAGCAACACAAGCCCCTCCCCCAGTTTAGTACTTTAAATATCTAAAATTCTGCCCCCAGCCCCAATGGATGTCATTAGTATGCATTGTTCTACTTTAAAAACAGATAACCACAGTTTGGCTTTACATAAAAATAAAAATATTTACAGTGAAGTAAACATTTTAAAATTAACAATTGGATGTCCCACCCCCTCCCTTAAGAGTAATCCCTAACGGAGCCTGCCCACTCCCCTATGACCTCCATAAGAAAAAGAATTAAAAAAGGTAACATTTAGAAGTATCATCAAAATTGCAGCCACTGTTTCTTAGCCAAAACGGGCAGCTATGTGGTCAAATACGCTGAGAATTTCCTGAGGCGCTTCCCTCAAGACGTGGAGTGTGTCTTTGCAATATCTATGGTCCTTCTTCACCTTACCCGGCTCACATTTAGAACAAAAAAAACAGGCAAATTAAGGGGTTGTGGAGGTTTTGGTGGCCGAGTTTTCACGACGTGGATGAAAGGCGAGCAAGCACCATATGCTACTTCACCGGGAACCTTACTCTACGACAGCTAAAACATCACTTACTGATCCTCTTCAGTTACCTCATTTAGTCCACTAACCTGCCTCTCCTCACTTCTTCATCCTTTAGCTGTCATTTCTCTCAAAGCAAAGAAAGGAGCTCCAATTTGTGATATCCTCACGAAAGATACAAATATGACATACACAGAGTCGTTGTTGCGGTGTTGAGCTGAAAAAGCAATCGTTACTAAGCCTATATCAATCACTAAGATGACCTTTGACGAGAAACATGCACGTCCCTGATTACTTTTTGCTTCTTTGATGCCAACAGCTCTTCACATTTGTCAGACAGAAGGTACAGAGGGAAATGTTTTGAGGAGTGGCAGGGTATGATCAACCAGGGAGTAAAAATGGTGAAGGAGTGTTTGCTTTCTGAATCGTGGTGGTGGTCCACGCTTCAGCAAAAAGACGTATACTGTCACAAACTTCCCTGGATCCTTAAAAGAAATTCATGTCCATTTCCTAAGATCCATGGGTCCATTGGCAATCATCTTTTCATAAGACAAGGTAAAAATAAAAGGAACAAAATTAAATGGGAGCGATGAATATACCTTGCAGCCCTGTAATGACAAAGGGGAGAGTTGTTAGTGAGGGCGGTGCATTTGGACGTGGTGCGTTTATGCATTTGGAAGTTTAAAGAACAGCTCACCTGTCAGTTTCATGTGCATGCAGAGCCAAAGAACACTACTTCCCCAAGTGCTCAAATGGCACGCTGACCTGCAAAGGAAGGAGAGATATGTTTATTTATTTAGAACATTTCAACATGAGGCGATTCTAAGTGCTTTAAAACATTCAAAAACAATTAGGATACAGTGCAACAGACACACAGTAAATCCGGACTTTAATGACATGTAAAAACTGTTATTTAAAAGTTTAAAATGGAAACTGAGCAATCTGGTGCCACTAACTGTTTTTAAAGCTCGGTTGGATGCTACTCAATCGGAAGCTGTTGGTACCTGTTCATGTGGATAGTTATGTAAATTGTAATCCCTGTAATGATGCCCTTTTTGTTGTTCTGTTTATGTTTTTATGTTTTATGTGGAACCTACTTGAGCAGGTCTCCCTTGAAAATGAGATCAATGATCTCAATGGGATACACCTGGATTCATAAAGGTTTGAAATGAAATGACATGTAAAAACTGTTATTTAAAAGACAAGAGAAAAATAGAATAAGACGGGTATAAAATGACAGTGCAGTTTAAATATGAATAGTTGTTTGATCCATTTCCCTTGGTGATGTAAACCAAACCCACAAATACCTACACAAAGTGCCAGTTACTGGGACACGCATAACACTGAAAGCTTAGCCAACTGATTTCACGAGACATCTTTAGTGCATGACAGTATCTAGTATCTAGTAAACACTTTAGAACAATGTAATCCAAGTTATTGTCCATCAAACTTGAGTACCGGATCTGGTTGTAAAATGAAATTGCTGGAGTGAAGCGTCAACACAACAATAAGGTTTCTTTATTAGCACTACTACTTACAAAATGTTTTACGTGTGATTTTAGCACCATCTTTTTAAAGTTGTGGATTGAAGAAGTGCTGAAAGATAGTTCACTATTACTCCTTGAAGTCTGTATGTTGTTGATACATTTCCACATCAAAATGCTGTGGCAATATTAATTCAGTCGTAACCGAGATGAGTCTTTTAAACATCGGCTTGATGAGATTATTTTTATTTAATGTCTTGCTGTAATTTAAAATGTTATTTTTGGAGGATAATTCGCTTTACTTCAACACACATAGCATTTTCATAAATGACCACATTTCTCCCACTAATGTGTGCGTTTTCTCACCTGTGATGTGGAGATTCTGGATGCGTCGTGGCGGGCTGTGAGGTCAGAGGACGACACGTTGGCGGGGGCTCCGCGGTGCAGCCGCATGCTCACCTTCCTCTCCCTCTCCGCACGAGAGATGGCACGAGGCGACGTGTTCCCTGAAATGATGTGGAACATTCAGAACTGACCACAAGGTGTGCAGGCATTCAAGAAATATAATGCGGTGTCAGTAAAGTTCATTAAATGGGATACAGTCAGTTGACAGGCTGTGGGGGGGAAGGGGCAGTAAGTAGGTGCACTTCATGAGAAACATTAAAGGTGGTGTGTTGAGGCCTATACTCGGATACAATGGTGTAATAACAGTGAAATATGGATGTTTATATGGGAGAAATAACTATTTATTATGAGTGTTATAACTGTAACTTGGGTGAACAATAAGTGTAATAACGCCGTAATATGAATGACAACGGAGTAATATACGTGTGATGGGGTAATATGTGCGTTAGAAGGGTGAAATACGGTTGTAATAACTTATATGGGTGAACAATAGTAACATGGGTGTTATCCATGTGTTAAAATGCCATAATATTGGTGTAGCAACATTTTAATATGGGTGTTATATTTAATTTAGGGTTGCCGACGGGTGTCATAACATAGTATGGGGATAATATGGATTTAATAATAATATTAAATATATACTCCAAATGGGTAAAAGTAATATTCTGAAAAAATACATGAAGTTGTGTCAATTTTGACATTAGAAAAAACTAATGAATTTGTTTTCAGAATTGTATTTTCAGACGGACCACAGGACTTTGAGACGAGTCGGCAGAAAACTCACCGGACGGCTGCACCCGCGAGGCGGGGTTGGAGACGGCCTGCTCCGGCCCGTTCCTCACTCTGTTGGCAGCTGCAGGGAGGGGCCCCGGTGGGAGGCCCCGCGATGCCGACACTCTGGGGGCCCCTGCGACCCGCTCGTCATCTCCCGCCCTCCGCTCCCGCTCCCGCTCCCCGTCCTCAGCTGTTCGACTGGCACCCTGAGACATCAAAGAGTTTCCATTAACAAAATATAGCTCCAAATTAGCCGCATTATATTTTCGGCAGTGAGATCTTTTCACGCTGATGACAGACTTAGTTTGCGTCTAGGCAACATACTAAACACTTTAACTAATGCTGTGATGTATTGTGATTTTAAAAAAGGTGTCTATTATCATCTGGCCGGGGACAACAGCTGGAAATTAGCAATGTTTGCCAAAGCTGCCCCATTTACTGTTTTTTGTGACAGTTGATCAATGGGGACTGTCCACAACACTATAAACAATTATTACATGGCTTAGTTGAATACTCGATTCTGATTGGTCAACTCAGAACACGTGACACGTTGTTAATCCAGTACAGACAGACCGCTGTCAAGCACTTATTGACCGTTGTTAAGGACGCTCACATCTGCAGAAAGAAGTCAGTTCGATGTAACTGCATACAGTTTGGCCGAAAAGCAAACTGCCTGCTTGTCAAACTGGGACAAGAAAACAGCGGAGAAGTAACGGGGCAGAAACCCTCCTTTTTACACAACGGTCCAGACATAGACATCAAACGGCAAAACATATTCAGTTGCCAGTTACTTTGGCATTAGGGCAGGGACATCTAGATACTTTCCAAGGTTTGACATAATTAATTGTGCTACTTTTAAAGCAAGCAACGATGTTTTCAAATCTGTAATCAAAAAGGTCCGCAAAAACGCTATCGAAGCAGTTCCTACTGTTGCTACGTTAGTTCAAACAGTAACAACGGACTATTTTTCTTAGCGGATGCATGTCATTTTAAATAAATAATAGCATACTATTTTTTAAATCAATAAAAACATTTTCTAAATCCATAAAAGCATTTAAATTAATATTGGGAGTCATATCGTTACTTTGTGGAGAATGTGGCCGTGTAATAAGCGGGATAATGTGCAGCGACTTGGTCATTATGGGGAAAAGACCCATAATGACCGCCTCGCTGCACATTATCCCTTACATAAACTAAACTTAGAAACTCACAAATTTGAGCATGTTCCAGTCGAAGACGTAATCGTAGGAGAATCCCTGGCGGTGGAAGAGATTCCTGAAGAGCTGTCGTAGGTAAGAGTAGTCCGGCTTGTCGTCAAAACGAAGCGAACGGCAGAAATTCAGGTATGTGGAGAACTCGGCTGCAGGAGGAAACAGAAGTGAAGAGAAACTCAGGATACTCAAAACATCACAGCACATGAATTGGCTGAATAAAACTCAATACTGCAGCTGCCGCAGAAACGCAGAATCATAACTTACAGGGGTATCCTTTGCAGAGAACCTCGATGGGCGTGGACATTTTCTTCTCACTGATTCGCTCGTACTTCTGTCTCTTGGTGGCGGCCTTGAGGCCCTGCCAGGGGAGGGAGCCCAGGTTGAAGTACATGAGGACGTAGCCCAGAGACTCCAGGTCGTCACGTCTGGACTGCTCTGTGGACACAAGGCAGGAGAAGGAGTCAGAAACTGAGAGATGTCAGTTAGTGCTACGACAAAGGATCCATTAAAGGGGCCCGATTAACAGTTTTTATATCACAAACTACCGTCTTCGTCTGATGACTTTGAGGAACTGCAAAACGTCACATAGCTTAAAGTGGCCTTCAATCGAGACAAATAGTCAAGAATGAAAAAGGACTTCTCTTAAGACGATATGTAACGGGGTATATGCAGGAATCCTGAAGTCAAATGTAAACCCTTTTAAGACCCTTTCCATACATTTTAAGACCTCATCGCCACTTGGAGTTTTAACAGTTTACATTGGCGACACACTTTACCTCACATTGACTATATACAGGGTGTTTCTCAATGTCGAGGAAGGATGCTCCAGAGCCACTATTTCAAGGATGCTACGTCATCGAGTCCCGCCGAAGGACTGTTCCAATGTCCAGGATGCTAGGAATTCTACCGAGAGCGGCATCCTTCGTTGCGGGAAATTTCGAGGCTGCACATGTGTATCCTCCGCGGTCTTAAAATCCCCACAATGCTTTGCGCACGGACCAATTTCCAAATCTTTGGCGGAAATCGCGCTCCATTTAAGGCGGGGCCTCGCATATGACGCACACCTGCACCACAATTCTTTGTTTTCCGAGGCTAGGAAGGATTCTTGCCTCGCTTCTGAAGGACCTGACTCGGAGGGACATGTCCTACCAAGGAAGCATCCTCGACATTGAGAAACACCCACAGTATTGATTGTCCTTCCTCCTTATCTTCCAACCATTTGGACGCAAACTTGCATTTCCCCATAACGATGTTTAACAACCGGCGTAAACGGACCTTCCGTTTCATACTTTTTAATAGCCTTCATTTTCGCTAAATTGATTTATTTATTTTTATTTTGAATCACTCAAGGCTTCTGTTTACTGCTGGGTTCCCGGATGTCATTTAACAACATGATATTATCATACTTCTCCATCTCTTGCTAAATATACTGTTTAACGAATGTTGATTTTAAATTGTCATCTCTTTCTTAACTGAATTATCTTGTTGCCGTTCCATTTGATGTGTGGTAAAGCACTTTAAGTTGCTTTTTTGTCTGAAATGAACTATATAAATAAACAAACCTCACTTTTTTTAGCTAGAAAAATGTATGAATGTGGATTTCCCTGGCATGCCAACTGAACAAAATAAAGTGTTTGTGTGTCGCTTACTTAGGATTTTATGATGTTGATCAGACAAACACTTGAGAGCCCAGTTCTTTTGTTTGTTTAAAGCAAATAGAATCACTTCCTCTACACTGTTATACATGCATGCTTACAGCCGACTTCAAAAGTTGAGAATACAACTCCTAACTAAATCTACTTAACAAGATTATTTTGGGCACAAGCAAAACAATGTTACAATAACTTTTGGGTCTGAAAATGAAAACAGAGCTGCTTTCTGTACCGGACAGTAATGACTTATTTTCTCTCATGAACCCACATCCTGTGCATGATCTGATAGGGTGTGTATAAACAAAATAAAATAGGAGGAGAGGGACGGTGGTTGGAAGTAGAATTGGTAGCTCCTTGGCTAATCAAAAGGAACTGCAGATTTGAAAAATATTCAGATACCTTTTGTAAGCTCTGACAAAGAATCTTAAACCTTGAAAAAGGAATGCGACGGATTAAAAATAAAGATTCCAAAAGACAACTGTTGTGATAGAAAGTCTGTAACGTGGTGGAGTGTAATACACCTCCAGGCTAGGGATGGATGTCACTTAGAGAGATATCATCATCATAAGCCAGCTCTGATGAATCATGTTTAACACAGTGTTTGGATACAGCTGTGAGTGGAGCTGGGGGTGTGATCCTGATGAAGCATCGTCTCCGTAAGCAACAGGACCAGGGCTGAATACTCCTATCAATACAGGGAGATGTGAGTCATGGACTGAGAAGCTAAGGTACTGAGGTTAACTTTTACTTCCATTTTTACTGACATTGTATATTTTTGTGTTGGCTCTAGGTATCATAAGGCCCGTCACAAAAAGGAGCATCAACTTTTGATACATATCACTAGGGATGCTCCGATCGCCAATTTTGGGGCCGATCGCCGGAATCAGTATCGGCCGATACCGATCCGATCGAGTGGGCGGGGCCTATGGGGATCTTCCATTTAAAGTGATGTTTAAAACTCAGTTAATGGGGCTCATTCACTGGCGCTTCCACAAACAACAACCACCATAATTATTACATTCAAATGAAGTACATTATTCAAGTTTACATTAACTTTGGATAATAACACGGGAGAAATTAGCGGAAGAGCTCTCTTTTCTCCTGACAGCCTGTCAGTATCTCATGCAGCTCACTGATCCAGTAATGAGTGACCCGACAGTAAAGAATAAACATATTTATAACTAGTTTAGCTTGTTCCAGAGGTAGATTAAATAGCTAAGTGTGTTAGGTCTAACTCTTATGCCGCAGTTCCACTACAGCGCGGAGCTCGCTTTAAGCGTGCCGTGTCGTGCCGCACCCGTTTTTGGTTGCGCTTCCACTAGGCCTAGTTACGGCCCGGCCCGGCCCGGCCCGGGGCCACTTTTTCACCTCTTTTCTGGCCCGACAAAATTGTGGTTCTATCGGGGCCAACAAACAGGGCTGAGTCGGGCTGAGTATGCTAAACTAGAGAGAGGAGCGCTGGCAAGAGGGCTATAACTACAACAAGATGGACATATTTGACCGTGATTTAATTGTAATACACGTTTCAAAATGATGCCGAAGTAACAACATACTGATACCGGTTAGTAAAAACCATGAATTAATGCTTTGTCAAGTCTGCAGACAGACGGCAGGCGAAAAACCTTTTAAAATGCGTGTTTTTCTAGATGGAGATTGGCTAAGCTAACGCAGTATATGCTCTGACCGTCCACACTCACAACAACGGCCTATACAGACATAAATAAAGCAGCGACTGTATTCACCATGACACAGGCAGTCTGTGGTTTGTACTTGTTTAACTTTTGTCTAGTTTCTGAACAGATATGAGGAGCTGTGAGCTCTGAGTGCTCACAGCTAACGGCTGTGTTGTGTTTCTGGAGTTCTCATTGAAGATGACGTCACGGCTCCGCCTACACTGCGTTACTATAGTAACTACCCCAGTTCCTAAACTGTAATGGAAGCGCAGCATGAAGTGAGTCGGCCCTGTTAAGGCCCAACGCGGCCAAGCCGTACCGAGCCGTACCGAGTGTGGCCGAGGCCGACCGTGTAGTGGAAATGCGCCATTAGTGTGTGTTGCTCCGCTCACCGGTCCGTCACAGCGGGCGGAGCTGCAGGATTTCTGCTTCACACACGTTGCATACCGCTATTTTACTGTCATTTTCGGACACCTTAAAATACTGCCAGACTGGGGAAGCCATTTTGGCGAGCTTGTTTTGCCGCGCACAGAGAAAAGTGTCATGTATTTTATGTCATGTGATCGGCTCTCCTGATCGGCCTTTATAGAGAGCACCGATCGATCGGCCGATAGTGATTATCGGCCGATAACGATCGGCGCATCCCTACATATCACCTCATTATTGCCAACTTTGCTTACATTTGTGTTTGTTTACATGATCCTAAAATAGGCAGCAGGGTTTTCCTTACAGTTATAAGATTTGGGCCTTTGGCAGACATTTTGCATTGTGGTTAACAGAGACCAAATTGTATGTATTGATAGTTTTTTTTTGATATTTTAAAGATAATTTATTCTTTTATCACAATATAATTGAAAGGCGGAGTATTCTTAACTGCTTTATTATTCCATTATATTACATCAGTGGCATAACATTGTCTTAAAAGTACAATACTACACTTTATGGCAATTTCTTCTAGGATTATATATCGTGCAGAAAATAAGTTATTTTGAGAGGAATAGTCTTGATTTTCAATGCATTTCAATATCTTTGTAGTGCATAGAATATAAACTAATATGAATAACAAGAACTGTAATAAGAGAAGTGAATAACAGGGAACTAGGCGAGCATCAGTTCTTCAAAATGAAGGCAAACTGGCGTGCATCAGAAAAATAAATCTGGGTTTGTTCCCTCTTACCGATTCCAAGATGCGTGTTGATGGAGGCGTAGCGCGCCGTGCCCGTCAGGTTCTTGTTCTCCCTGTAGGGGATGTGCTGGTGCGTGCGGGCGTCGCGGTACTTCTTGGCCAGGCCGAAGTCGATGATGTACACCAGGTTACCCTTCTTGCCGAGCCCCATTAGGAAGTTATCAGGCTTAACATCCCGATGGATGAAGTTCTTCGAGTGGATGTACTCGATGCGGCTGATCTAAAGAAGATAGTAGAGACAAGGAAAGAGGAAACTGTGAGACTCAACACAAAATAGTTTGGTACATAGAGAGGAGACATTAGGGTGTGTCAAGGTGACAAACACCAGGCCATAAGGTCATGTGATCACATTTTACGTGCTGTCAAGTCAGCTCCGTCCTTGTGCTTTCTAATAAAGTTTTAGCAGCAGTAGGTGCACTCAATACATCAATACCTAACTAATGCATGAAAGGAGGACAAGGGAGGACAACTGGATATATGAAGGGAGGACAACTGGATATATGAAGACAGGACGAGGGAAGGTGATGACCCCAGGCTATGAAGCTTCACTCTCACACAAATTGTCCCACCTATCACCTTTCTGCTCCGTAAACACACACCTTCGGTAGAATAGCAACCAGTGGGTGACAATACACCGAGCGAGACCACACACACAAAGCCTTAGGGGAATCAGATGTAAGGTTTATATATAAAACAATGAATACAAGTATAGTAGATCATGCATATGCCCTAAAGCGGTTACAAATATATTTTGTATCTATCTTCGTAAATAGAACAGTTTCAGACAGTGGACTCTTAACTAAGAGGATTGTTTATGTGTTTATGTTGATGCCTGTGAGTTCACATGAGGGTTTGTGTCGTACCATCTGGTCGGCCAGCAGCAGAACGGTCTTCAGGCTGAACTTCCGGGAGCAAAAGTTGAAAAGGTCCTCCAGACTGGGGCCGAGCAGCTCCATCACCATCACGTTGTAGTCTCCCTCTGCACCACACCACTTTATCGATGGGATACCCACTAGAATGTAAACAAACACACGGTCATCATAAAGCTTGTATTATTAACTCCAACAAGCAATTCATAAACATTTCTCCCCAACAAAGCCACATTCATCTCACCTCCTCCTTGCATCATCTTGTAGAACTTGCTCTCAATGTGCAGCTGGGGGTGTTTGGTCTTCACACATTCCAGCTTGATGGCTACCTCCTCCCCTGTGGCGATGTTGGCACCTGAGGACACACAAAAGTACAATTGTTGCTTAAAGAGGCATTTAAATGTGCCTGTACCAGGAAAAATGAAGGATTAATTTGAAGGAAAATGTGTTTTGGTGCCAATAAGAAGGGACAGTAATGGTACAGCAGCAGAAACGTATGTGGAAAGACCCTTAACAGAGGGGACACATGGAAAAATTGTGTGGAAAAACAAACTTACCAAGGTAAATGTCGCCAAAGGAGCCACTCCCTATCTTCCGCCCGAGCCGGTACTTGTTCCCCACTCTCAGCTCCATGTTTGCGAGTTGTCACTGTCACCAACAGAAAAAAGGAGATGATTATAAGCAGGAAAAGGACACATGACACCATGCTCGCTTATCTGGGCGGCGCCACTTTTCTCACCGCTCACTGGGAAACATTATACGATGAGCTACTGTGTACAGTTCAACAGAATATAACACAGAGTGATAGAATGAAAGGAAGCTGTCCTCTAGGGTCGGTCAGCTGCTCACATGATCATCCGTCAAATCCCAGACACACTGAGCTGCCCACATGCTTGAGTGAGTAGCCTGAGCAGAGCTTGTTGATCAGCCAACAGCTGTCTGACCTCAAGAAACACACAATAGAGTGGTGCAGTGATGACGTACTTTTGCAGGCTGACCCGGAAGTTAACATAGCAAGGGCTCCCTCAACAATAAGCAGTGGGATTTCAGAGTATTGCAAACACACGTTCATTTCAGCAGAATAATCTCAACATATTGACACCACTTTTATAATGTAGAAGTGCATTCCAGAAGTAGAAAGCTAACGTCACGCTATAAAGGAAAGGCATCACTGTCACATGGCTTCACGTCACCACCGCTAAGCTAAGAAGGCGGCTAATGTTCGGAGTGAGAGCACGTCTCATTTAGTCACTTGTTAGGAACCGCAGGTTTTTAAAGACACATTGAAGCTCCAGGCATTCACCAGAGGGGTATTTACTTATGTATTTTATGTAGTAGAATAAAACGTGAAATCTCTTCACTTATGTTAACCACAGAGCTTAATTCAGGTCTCACTCATTCCTGCACCACTCTCTTAAATGAGTAGTGTAGCTGGCAGGAAGAGATGGTTGCAGTGAGATCAGCAAAAAGGAGAGTAGTGACTGGAAGGAGAAATACATCAAAACCAGGACTACATAAAACTGCCGGTTTCCACTTGGAACAGAATCAAATGCGAGTACTAGGACTTGGCACACGAGGAAAGTGCATCTTCTGAGCTGAACTGCACGTGATGCCGGAGCAGGATCATCATTTATTTAGCACACTCCTACCACGCCACATTGTGCAGCCACTGCAAAAGCAAGACTAAGCTCTCTCCACTGTTCCGTACTAGCAGTGCCAAGGGAGGGAAGGCATGAGCGCCGGCTGGCTCTATCTGTGTCAAGGCCCTCAGACGATTCTGTGCACTGAACTTCAGAAAGCAAAGTGCTGCAGAGGACGCATCAACGCGGAGCATTATTCATCAAAAGAGATTTCATTTGTTGACAGCAGTTTGGGAACAATATGTTAACAAATTGATGGAAACAGTGGACCCTTGTTCCAAATCACTGCTTCATATTCACATATCACTTCGAGACATGTGATGCAACATATGAAATTGACCTCATTGAAACAGATTCATGACAACTCGGAAGAAAAAATAACTGTCTAAGGAAAGCTCAGTTTCGTGGACATGCTAATTCGAGCTAGCAGAAGAGCCATCGATTCAGTACTCTTTATCTAGTTTCTTTTATCAGAGCCACCTTTATTCTTTTATTAATAAGTAACTTTACTTTATTGTAAGTTGGAGGAAAGAATTAGCACCAGTTCAGTAGTAAATCTAATCATTTGGCCTATAGTCAAACATTGCAGAAAAATGCGGGAAATCTTCATATTCGAGAGGCTCAATACAGCATTTTAAGAAAAATGACTTCAATGGACGATAATGAAAACAGTTCATTGATTGACTTATTGCCGCATCTCTGACACCTTTGTAAATGAGTCAAACTCAAAACAAATCGCATTGCACAGCCCTCAGTTTAATGAGACGTATCACCTGAACCGAACATATGGTAAGATGTAGGCCGGAGACCTTGTCAGCTCCGGCTGATGAGAGCACATCCTGCCATGGTGGATGTGATAGAGGCAGATGGATTTGGGTTAATAAAGGGTTAGGTTTCATTACACCAAGAGGGTGTCTCATGTGCTGCAGCCAGGGACCTGATTTAGGGCGCAACATTAATCACAAGGCTATGGAGTAAGTGCTATTGATTTATTGCTTGTTACTGGAGCGGTGACACGCAATTTTAAACCGCACACTGTTTTACACTGCATATTAAAGACTGTGTGCATGTGGCTTCGACTGGAATAATACTCATGATTATTCTAAAAAGCTTAGCCGGAGAGAACGTGGTTTTGCCAAGACATGCATAGGGAAAAACTGTGCAATGTGAAGAATGCATTATTCGATTTCAATGATGGCCTATGTGATGTGAAGCAAGTGGAATAGTCCCATTGCAGCTGGAAACGCACCATGTGCCTTTAATGTAGAGAGGGTCTACATGACAGTGGACAGATGAGCATGCTAGCCTTCATCTTCTGGTTACAGAGGGGGGTCTTTAGAGTTTGTCCCGAAGAGGGGCTACAATAAGGTTTAACCATCTATACATAAATAAATAACCATCTAAACCATCCCAAATGTGAAATACCTTGTATTTCCTACAATGTAATCTCTCACACAGTTAAGACACAATCTTTTTTAGCCCTCCTGTCATTTCCTGGTCAAATCTGACCGTTTTACGACTTTCATCAATCATAAATATAGTGTTTTACATTCGAGGCCTTATGATATCCTCCACAGTGGGCATTTGAACATATAAAACAGCTGATCACCACTTTCATTACATTTTGAATAGTTTAGCCAACTTTGTCACGCCTATGGGGTTCCCGGAAAAAAAAATGACCACCACAGGAAATGAATGAGTAACTCTAGATTACGTTCACCCATCAGATAGCACAGAACCACCAATCAACAAAATGTTAATTTCATTGTCTATTCTTTGGATTTTCCCTGCAGTTATTTGTGTAAACCAGTAGTCTTTGTAGACATTGTTTACAGCTTGAACGGGTGTACAATCAAATGTGGTGATGAATGTTTTTGTGTTAATGTAAGAGCAGGGACCACCAAAGTAAATTAACACGACAGGAGGGTTAAAGGAGAAAACAAGAGTCAGAAACCAAAACAGAGGATTTCGCAATCCCATGAAAAACAGAGCACTGCTACGCCTCTCAGGGCAGCTGTCACTCAACAATCCGCTTGTGTGAAACTGACCCGACACTAAATACATCAATACAACTAACTTGCCAAATTAAGTTAAAACATACTGCAAATATACACACATGTCACAAAGAATACACAATATAAATGGATAAATTAGAATGTTCCACAAAACACCAATACACTACAGCACAGAAATATAGACATATACTACAGTAGCAGAAACATAAAGAAAGTATATCAATTAAAGTTGTGCAAAGTAGCTCAAATTGTCAAGCAAGTCAGTTATGGTTTAATGTGGTCAATATTTTGCAACTACTAATATTGGCCACATTATTTAAAACGCCTTAGAAAGACAGACACTTCAAGTAGGTTAACGTTGGTGAAAATACCAACCTAATGCAACGTGAAGGATGCAAACTGCAGTTATAAACAATAGAAAAATAAGTAAAATAAGAAAACATCAACCGATAGCATTTAGCTAGTTCCCTGTTAGCCGCTAGGAGTAAGCTAGTGGAAATACGTTAATGGAACCGTGATACGCACGTCACGGTGGTTATTATAGAAATAAAAAGACAAGCTGTAATCGTGTTTATATGTTATACTTTGTCACATTTGTACTTAAAAACCGCACCCATTTATGCTACGGGACAAGTAAGATACTAGCCATCCCCACTACTATCCCCCTCCCCCCCTCTTCTGTAAAGCCGTGAATACGAGCCTCTGATTCGGGCGAATCGGGCCGCTTTTCACCCCTGAATATCTCCGGTTCCCCGACCCGCAACTCACCCGATATTGGGTTCGTCCGAGAGCTGGTTCGGTGGATGTTCTGATCCGATGGTTGTCAGTGGGACAGAAGCCCGAGTAAAGGAGGATGGGAGCGGATTCTGGCGGATCTCATACCCCCAGCTCTGAGCTCTGTGGTCGGTTGCTCTCCCTGTTGATAGTCCTGTGAGAAGCTCCAGCAGCCGTTGCTCTGTCTCCCCCTCCCGTTACTTAACAACGCGCGCGGTCACTACGCGATGATGTCATTCTGGGGATGTCAGGGTCAGTCATTTATGAAAAAACGTCACAGCTAAATGCTCCTTCCTTTATACATGCTTACCATTCATTAATTATCCAGTGATCTACTATTACTCATCTAGAGTCATACTCGAGTTTGCAAGGTGAATCCTGTTGTGTTTATCATGCCAGATATCGCGATATTTCAGTATGAAGTATATCCTCAATTCAGTGTTGAATTAATCTGTTACAAGTTAAAGTCCTGTATTGAGTTAAAATAGTTTTTAAATTAGAATCAACGTTTTCTTCAATTTCAAATTATATTTATACAACGTATATTTAGGAAGTGATAGTGGTTTATTTCTACAGAAAGGACTATTTCAGCACTCAAAGTCCTATTTTCATCTATAAAATTACTTCATGCTTTTAGACAATCATTTTTAGAAAGAAAAAAAAAAGCTATATCTGATTTTGCAAATTATTATTATATATTTCTAAGTATTAAATCAATGTAGTGGAATAAAAAGTACAATATTACCATATGTGTTGAAGTATAGAAGTCTATAAGAAATCACTGCATCAGAGGTCACTTATTTCATACAGTATGCAGTAGCTTACTGTAGAGTGACGTGGGTTTAAATAGGATTGGTTTGTGGATGGTAGTGAGAGGCCGACAGATGGACACACTGACTTGTTTTTCTGCCGATGAAAAGCCTTTAGGCCTTTCACTGAACGAAAGGTCTTTGTCATATTCATCAGTGCAACATGCAGTGCTTAGTGTGCACATGTGCTCTATAGTGGAAGCCCTGAAAGAGGAACAGAGGCGGGGAGGTTCACACTAGGATTGTTAAACATAGAAACTACCTCATTGAGCTGCAAAATACAATTATTTACATGTTCGATACATCTGCTGTTTATATCTAGAATAAAATCAATTTTAATCTCCATATTCGAATGGATTAAAACATAATTTCAGCAAAAAAATTTGCATTAAAAATGAGTTTAATTATAATAAATTATCAAAAAATGACAATTATTTTTCTTTCAATCAGCTTATGGTTAAAGCTCTAGTACACTTGCTCAAAAAAAGTTTTAGAGAACAAAAACATGTTGACAAAATAGTAAAAATAGTCCAAGTCCAGACCCCTAAATGTCTTGTTTTGTCAGTTTATTCGTTGATATATAAGAAAAGCATGACATTTCCATATTTAAAAGGTTGAAACTGCATTTTCTGCCATCTAAAAATGAGTTTAATGATACATTATCAAAATAGATATATTTCCAGATTAAAATGAAAAATATGTCAATAGAATTGTAAAGAAAAAAGGCCCGTCCCATTCCCTTCAATGTGATGCCTTTGAATGTCCGATATGAAAAGAGAAAATAGAACTTATTTGAAGGGTTAAATATAGATTCTTCTGCAATATATCCAACTTATTGGTAAAGCTCTACTCCATGTTTTAACCTCCATCCAGAAACCTATAAACTCTCAACAAAACCACCACGAGGACAGAATTAGAAGCCAATACTTTCATCTTTATTAATCTTGTTCTCATTTGTTTAAATAAATTTTTCCTTTGTAAAATCTCTTAACGAAAACACTGAACAGGAGTGTTAAAGCCTGTCTTAATTTAAAACGAATACACAACAGAACATTGAAAAAACGTACGGTAACTCTTACTCTGCATCTGTAAACAACCCGCCCCCCCCCCTCCCTCCCTTTCCCTCCACACAGTTTGATAAGATTTGGCATGTCCATTTACTCAACGCGTATGCCTTCAGCTCTTTGTGTCATTAAAATTTTTCTTTTTTATTATTGCAGGTCGGACAATAAAAAAGACTAAAAAAAAACAACTTCAAATGAGAGAAGAAAAAAAATTAAGCATTAGTGCCAATATTTCTTAACACACAGTCAGCAGTATACCGAATGCACTCAAAAACATTTTTGTATAGACCTTCTGTATAGTAAGCAGCCTTGCCCACATTATGACAGGCAGTAACATGCATACACACACACACTATCCTCACATTCACACACACAACTGTGGTTTTAATCCACATACTTGGTCTCAGTCTCACTCATACTCGTGTCCATATAGTGTGTATACGACACATGGAGAAATGCAACATAGCCTCAAACTGCCAGCAATTTAACATTTATCACTGCAACAGTAACAAACATGTTTCAGAGAGAATAACAGAGAAAGAGTGCGTGAGATACAACAGTAGGAGGTCAGCATTTTGAAAACAGAACAATGACACATTTTCAATATTTTCACTGTTCAAAAAAAAAAAAAAATTGAAACCATACATACATACAAACAAAAGAAAAAACATACACAGTAAGATACAGTTCTGTTTTCAATCAGAGCTGTTTGCATGTGGATTCGGTCTCCGCTTTTAAGGGGACGTGAATACAAAATGCACTTTAACCTCACATCATGTAGTAGTTTTTATACGATGAAGGTAATGCTGTTTACAGTGCCCATCTGTCTGAAGGCTCGTCTGTATTTGGTGTGTGCATGTGTATGTAAATCTGTTTTGAAAAGTCCCCTGTTTACTAAGCACATTGCAATCCAGTCAAGTCTTTGAGACTTCTCATTCTTTTTCGTTTTTTTTTTTTTCAGGTTTCAAGTCTAAGCAGTTGAAATCTTCATCTGTGGAAAAAAAGGCTGTATACACATCTAACAGTCCCTGCATTTGTTTATATAATAGCTTAAGTCTGGCCACGAGAATGTGTGTAAGCATGTCTCACATTTCTGCTTGATGTGTGTGCACATTTATATGCATACCGTGTATATGTACGCACATGTGTGTATATGTGTATTACATTAATATGCATACCATGTGTGTGTGCTATAGTAAGTACATATGTATCCCAGTGTATTTTTTGTATCAGTGTGTCCAAACCTACACCTACAAATAGAGGGGGGGGTGCTCATCAGATGGAGTCAGCTCCTCCCCCCAGCAGGTCGCCAGGCAACAAGGCGGCAGGGCTGTCCATTTGGTGCCTTTCCTCCATTTGCGGTGCCCCCCACATGCTGCTGCTGCTGGGGTATCCTGCATTCATGCCCCCCCACAGCCCAGACCTGGCAGAGTCCACCCCCCCGACGCCTCCCCCTCCCTCCCCGTTGTGACTCCACTGGGAGAAAACACCCAGCCCGGGCCCGGGTCCTTGGGCTGTCGAAGCTTCTGATGAACTTCCTGTACCGTCGAGACTCTGCCAAGTGGAGCCAGAGGACCTTCCCCCAGCCAGAGCCGCCGCTCCACCCTCCCCTCCTCCTCCCCCTCCTCCTCCTCCGCCTCCCCCTCCTCCTCCACCATTCCCGTTTCCACCTGGAGTTGTGCCCGTCGCTGCCCTCTCACTCCCCGGGGAGCTGCCCCCCCCGCTGGCTGCTGCAGGGCCCGGTCCAGGAGAACCCTGCGACCCGCCTGGTGCCGCTGACCCTCCGGAGCCAGACCCCTCCGACCCTCCCGCCTGGGAATGTGCAAAATAGCGAGCAACTTCCTCCTCGCTCACAAACTCCGCCAGGATCGTGGTGTTGCCCAGGACACACCTGAGAGGGATGATTTAACAAGAGAAGAGTGTTTAGACCTACAGCAGGGTGTATAAGATACGATAATACTTTATTGGTCAGATGAAGTCTGAAATTTGACTTGCGAGGGCATAAGGTTAAATATATGTGACCTGTCCATCAAAATCAGACGGATGTCCACAATAAACCGTATTTAATTTAGTCTTAATTTACATTATTTCATTTCATATTCTGTTCTTGTACATATCATATTCTATTGACATGTATATTGACTTTTTCCACTACTTCCGTTGCATTGTTGGAGGAGCTCAGGTCAGAAGAATTTCATTGCCATTTCTACACTGTAGCTTTGTGCATATGACAATAAAACCTTTGCATCTTGAATGTCTCCAAATGTCACATAGGTGTGTGAGACCTGTGTATATAAAGTTGACTTTGAGCGAGGTTAACCTACATGTGCAGTGCACCCTGGGCCTTGGCTGCTTCCTGCCGGGTGCTGTAGCGAATCAGAGCGCTGCCCTGTGTCAGGCCGAGGTGGAAGGTGAGCAGCGGGCCGTGCTGCATGCAGATCGTCCTCAGCGTGGAGCCGTCAATCTTCAAAAGAAAAACAGGTGAGGTGTAAATGATTGTGCAACAAATAACCCAAGACATCAGTTATAGGGACAGAGACAGGTCAGGGAATCTTATACAACATTGGTTATGAGAATAGAAAACTGTGCATTAACGAGTAATATAGTGAGACTGCACACTGGGACTTCATCGGTGCACATGAGCACTCTATTAGGCTAAATGGATTATGATGAAAAAAAAACGAAATAACTAAAAACTGTCTAGACTTCTTCAAATATTTTCATTCCCATGCTTTTCCCAGAGTAGTGTCATGCGAGTGTAATTTGAGTAAGCTCCAATTGATTAAACGGCTCATCCAACTTCACAATCCAATTACAACTGGGTCACGCATCATGCGCCTCATTTGCATAAGACAGGCTGAAGGGGAAGGCAGATGAATGAGCTCAGAGATTTCACTTTTTTGGGATCCGTCTGCAGCTGTTTTAGTTAAATTCTGCTTTCTGCAGCATCTCAGTTTATAGCAGTGGTGGAAAGTAACACACTTAAGTAGTATTTAGTCACACTTGTGCTCTAAGTATTTACATTTAATGCTACTTTGTACTTCTACTCCAGTAACCTCAAGGAAGTTGAACTTTTACTCTATTACACTATGAAAGAAAACCTTTTTCAAGAAGCATAATAGGGCCACTTTAATTAACGTTTGAAATGTACAACGTTTGGATGGATGGAGTCTTTTAAGATTAAAGTAAAGAGTCAGAGTACTTCTTCCACCTCTGCTTCATAGACAGCAGAATTACTGGTGGTTTATTGAGTTCATTTACTTTACGAGAAGATTTCCATCTCTCTCCACCTCTCTCACTTCATACCTGAGGGGTGAGGTTGCTCAGCAGCAACCAGCAGCTTCCTCTGGGGGTAACACCATCGCTCCAAGTTGAGCCTATAAAAGGAAATAGAACAGGAGACAAGGATGGAACAATTAGCGTGGACCCTTTGAGAAACACAAAAGATAACCTTTTTTACAAAAAGCTATAGAGAGGCGAAGTCCCTCCCTTTCCGGGGGAGCTCCATGGGACCTTATTTCGGAAAAAGTATGTATTGAAGTCAATGGAGAGAGAAAGATTATCTTTTGATCCCGTTTGAATTGTGCCACGAATTACACATATGATGTTTGTCAATTTAAAAGATAATTTTGCAAGTCAAAAAAATTAAAATGTGTCGTAAAACTGTGAAGTAACACTTTTTTGTGTGTGAAAGCGCTCAATGAACTACATCTCCCGTCTCGCACCACACACCAAGACGGCCGTCACGTTGACACATTTCACTTCTTTCTTTCAGAATGAGGCGGAAAGTATTAAAAGAGGTGAAAATCACTCCAAGTCTGGGCATGTTGAGAGCTGTACGTACACACAAGGGGAGTTAGTCAGTTCCGTAAGAGCCAGCATGCGGGACCGGGATTCTGGGATTTGTAGTCTTTCTAGTTGCGTATTTTTCATAGTCTTATATTTCAACAGTTTTACGACAAACTGACTTTTTTGACATGGAAATTATTATTTAAGATTGACAAACATATGTGTAATTCGTGCCACAATTCAAACGGTATCAAAAGATAATCTTTCTCTCCCCATTGACTTCAATACATCATTTTTCCGAAATAAGGTCCCATGGGTCGGAAGTAGATGAGCGTGACTTCGCCTCTCTATTATGCTAGATGTGTCATTGTATCACTTTCAAGAAGAGCTTCCTCTATAAGATACAGTGAAGCCATAAGTCGACAGATTGTACCTGGGCCATATCTCGACTCTTGATTAATCCCGCTCCCTGCCCAGTTGCGAGCCATCCGCGGGCCTCCGCTGCCCCACGGGGAGGGCGAGGCCTGCTTCTGATTGGCTAAGCCAGGAGGGGGGCGTGGCAGCTGTGAGCTGTTGCGATTGGTCTTCCACATCTTGTTTTGTCCGATGGGCTCTGGGGGCCAGCTGGGCTTGTACTCTGAGTACTTTCCTAAAGAGGAAATGGTGAGGTGGGAGAAAGAGAGGGGGGGAAATGAGTTTAGACAAGCAGACCACAGAAATGTGAGAGGAGAGGGTGTAGTGCAGCGAAATCCTTTGGCATAGCTTTTACACAAGGAAAATACAGTGTAACAGAAAATTAGGAGACATGAAGGAGAGTCTAAATGCATAATACATACCTGTGCTGTGTGCATTGCTGAGGGGGCTGTCTGAGGCACTGTAGGGCCAGGCACCAGGTGAAGGCAGCGAGGTGTTGAGGGAGGGGTTTGGCCCTGCAAAACATTACAAGGAAAGTTAAACATCCTGTGAAAACAACAAAGGCTGGACTGCAGATAACGCCTGTGAGGAATACTGTAACATTTCTCCCTAGACTTTCTGTCACTGGAGCATGCTTTCAACTAAAACAACATATTTGGCACACTCAGTGACATACCTATGTTGTCTCGCAGTAACTGGTGGTCAGAGTCGTTGAGGCTCGGGGGTCCCGGGGAGCCTAGGACACTCCCGGGGGTCATGTAGGGGTCAGAGTCCGGGTCTCCACTGCTCTGGATTCCCTTCCAGGGCACACCGGGCTGGAACTCTGACAACAGAAACGTATTGGCTCGGTTCAGACCTGGCATCAACATGTGTCCTGGGTAATCCGATCACTAGTGGACGGCCAAGTACGTCAGATCACACCTGGCATTAAAATGCGGTCTCAAGTGACTGTTTGTGATCCGATCCTACTTCCCTGCTCTATGTGTAAATAAACACGTGCTTAATTAGTGTCTTGGCATCCACCTTTAAGTCTAGAAGAGCCTGACATTTTCAACTGACTTTTCCTTCTATAATCCTATGAAGAGAAAGATATAGTCACCTGGAGGCCAGCTGGATGTGGCAGGTTTATTCCCCATTTTACTCCCGGGGGTCCGGTGCCAGTTGTCTGCAGAGCCTTGAGGGGGAATCCCCATTCCATCGCTGCCCAGCATCTCATACTGGGAGTAAGGGGATCCTCCTCTCACCTTCATACCACTGGGTAAAGGACCTTGGGAACAGAACACAAGAGAGAAATAAGGATCAATTCACAATCTTACGGTGAACTGAAGAGAATCGTTGCAGAACCGTCCAACGTGCTAACAGCTAAACATCAACGCATATTTGCATAGTTGATAGGAGGATTAAATAGTTGAAAGGTACAATTTGAACCATTAAATGTGCAATAAGGTGTTTAAATTGCATTTTTATATTCGAAATGTTTGACAACCCTCTGTTAACGAACCATTCTTGTGAAGAGCTGCGTCGGGGGGGGATGGGGCAGGCGAGTGTCCCTCCATCATCCATTTGTAGCGGGACTGCTGTCCTCCTGTGTCCTTCATCCCTCCCATCATGGGGCCGAGCTCCAGGCCTCCACCAGGGGCTAGACCTCCACCAGCAGAAACACACATTTATGAGCCCGTTATATTCAAGTATTGTGTATTTCCCTTTTTTTGTTCAAGATCACTGGGATTGCACCGAGGATTAAAGACTAGGGACCATTTAAGTTGGATTTAAATGGTTTTAAATTAGCTGTTGGAAGATGCCTAATTTTTTGATATTGCATGTTTGTATTTTTCATACTGGTTATTAGCAATTATCATGTTCAAAGTCATTTCTAATAACCAGTTCACAGTCTCGTCATATTCTTCCGAAAAACATATTTAGTCATACTTTTTGTAAATGAACACTGGCCCTTTTGACTCACCAGAATACATCCCTTGTGTTTTGGCATGAAGATCTGATAAGGCGCCGCCCATTCCAGGGTGAGCAAGGGGGTCTACCATGGGTTGTTTGGATAGGCCTCCCCCCAGGTGAGAGGGGGACAGTTTGGAGCTCCCTCCTCCTGGAGCTGCTCCTCCGACTCCACCCTGCTGATGCTGCCTCTGCTGCTGCAAAATAGCCATGATCTTGGCCAGCTGAGAATGACGAAAAATGTAATTAGAATATCGGCAAACTTTGTAGGCAGAGGGAAACACGGGTTATGGTTGTTCTGTTGACAGTTAGGATTCACCAAGGCATAGCCCTATATTCTCTCATTAGCAAATAAGATACGGAGACATACACCGATGACAGAAGTTTAACAGTTTGGCTGGGCCATGTGACTTAGTACCGTTATTTAATGTTGTACAAAGTAGGGCTGTGCGGTTATGGCAAAAATCATAATCACGATTATTTTGGTCAATAGTTGATTATTACAAACGATTATCCATTTATTGAAAAGAAAATGTGAACAGTATGTTTTTAACAGTTGATTACCCTGAACTTTAAGTATAATTCAACTGAAAAACCAATTGGAAAAAAAAAAAAAAAAAAAAAAAAAAAAAAAAACATTTTATTTCGATTACGTTGTTTTCGTAATCGTTGCAAGCCAAAATCGAGATTAAAATACGATTAATTGCACAGCCCTAGTACAAAGACTGAAGCCCATCTTTAGTTTTGCAGGATTATGCTCCCCCCTCCTCTGTGCTGCAGCTCAGGATTGGTAAATAAAATAAAATGTTCAAAGACTTTGCCCTCCAGTATAATCTTTTATGAGAAAGCCAACACCAGTTCATACATATTCAAAGTTAGTGTGGTGAAAGGCAGTTCATTCTTTACAATAGAAATGTATCTGTATCCATGGTGTATGATAGGGTGTAGAACATGGTGGTGCTCACCTGCTGGGGGTCAGGCTGCTGCCGGAGAGGCTGGGGCTGGGGCTGGGGGAACTTCCTCTGGTTCTGCAGGAGCTGCTGCTGCTGCTGCTGCTGCTGCTGCTGTTGGAGCAGGAGCTGACAAGCCTGATGTTAGACATGTTTAGAGATGGAAGTAAACAAAGAGGCGCTCACATACACACGCTGAGTCATTAGAGGGTGGGTTTATTACAAGTGTGATGAATCATTACATGAATTAGCAATCTACAGATCTGTCACGTACCAGATGGAACTGCTGCATGTGGGGGTAAATGTTGCCGAGCATTGCTAGCTGCTGCGGGGAAATCTGAGGAGGGAACCCTCCTCCGCCAACACCGCCGACCCCTCCGACACTTCCCACGCCGCCGACCCCGCCGACACCTCCTACTCCTCCAACCACTCCGCCCACGCTGCCACCAGGAGAGGGCATCTGCTTCAGCATGGGACCCGGCACCTGCAGGTCACAGGAAGGAAGTTCTTAATCAACAGACACTTGGTGGAGCATTTATGGGAAATGGGGACAATCTATTTATGGAGATCTGACAAAATACATTTTTATTTACAGTTAAAAATGTGTGAAAGTGGCATCAAAACTATTGACTGGAAGAAATAACCCTTCACACTGTACAGTCTAGGTGGAGATAAGTGCTCTGAACATTAATGATGTTCTAAATATATACTTCTCTCGTGTATATATATATATATATATATATATATATATATATATATATATATATATATATATATATATATATATATATATATATATATATTCATATTTTCTAGTATTTATATGTGTTGATATGAATGATTTTGAAGTACTGCAAAATCACAGACTTGTGTTTTTTTGTTATCTTTACATTGTGTTAATGGCTTCTTTTTTTGAAGACTACTGGCTTGTTTAATAATGTCCTGATTTCAAATTAAAAAAACATCTCACATAAAAATCAAAAAATCAATTTTTTTTTGTTCTTCTTGTGTGTCAGTCATCCACACCAATCAGAAGTGCTGTGCTCCACATGTACCAGCCATTGTTAACCAATCAGAAGTGGCCCATGATAGAAGGTGATAGACAGATTGATCCAATCACCTGCCAAGTATTTTCGAAAGTGCCTGCCCTTTTCCAAATGGCTTCCAATGGAGCTTTCCTATATGGTTTGGTGAAGCAAACCATCTGAGTCAGGTTAGTAATGCTCCATCACATGTTCTATTACAGGGTGAATGTTAAACTGAAGCTTGTTTTATGTAAGTTTAGTTCTTTCACTCGTAGCTCTGGCTGTGGGGGCGCTAGAGACGGGAGCACGTTGATACGACCTTCCTAGCCGGAGATATGGCCGCATTTTACAATAAACTTCCGTTGGGTCGCTTAAAAACAAATATCGCAAATCGAATCGCAATATCTGTCAGAAAAATCGCAATTAGATTATTTCCCCAAATCGTGCAGCCCTAAATACATCTTTCATCACAACCAATACAATCAGAAACAACGAACCTGAGCAGACAGGTACTGATGAGGCACTTGAGCACGTAAACCCTGGGAGGGGTTCATGGGATGCATGCCAGGCTGGTGCATCCCTCGAGGTGGAGGCATCCCCCCGCCGCCGCTGCCGACATACCCCCCATGGCCACCCATCTGGAGAGCAATGTAAACACAAAAATGAATGTAGCTTGTGTCATAGTAATGTCTTCACTTAAATCCTCCAGGTCCCACTCATATAGCACGCTTACCTTTTCACCATAGGGCCCCATGTCAACAGGACCCATGTCTTTGGAACTAGGCATGCGGTAGCCTCCTCCTCCTCCACCTCCTCTTCCTCCCCTCCGCATCTCTCCGTTGTAATCAGTCATTCCTCTCTTGTCTCCTTCCATCTTTTTGTCCAGACTTGGGTCATCACCCTGAGAAACAACAAAGTGGTAAACATACTGGTTCGTGGGACAGAAACAGAGACCTCACTGAAAATGCAGCAGGATGACAGAAAATATATTTAGGTGAAATGTCAAGACAGAATTGCTGTTTTCAATAAATGGATGTATAAAAGGGTAAATATCATGCTCATTTTCAGGTTATTCATTGTATTTTAGGTTTCGACTAGTATATGTGTATTTGCATTGACTTATTGAGTCACCCTCTTTTGGAAACGGTCTGTTTTAGAACCAGTTTTTTTGTCTGCTCTGATTGGCTTGCTTGAAAAATTGTGTGCTGTTGTTGGACTTGGCGCAGGGTTGAAAGTGCCCCATTGTTTGCTTTTCTGTTGGTATGCACTCAAAAATTACAAATGTTTTAGCACTAAAAAGTGAGTTCTTCATGATGAGTAAGATCTTCTTTTTGTGAATCTTACCATAAGACCCATGTTTGAAAACTGACGTGACACTGGGTTCATCCAGCTGTCTCCACCTCCGCTCTGTAGGAGAAAATAAATTCACATGTTACTCTCAGTCAAAAAGGTATTATGTGAAACCGGTTTACTTTCTCCTGCGCTGACAAAACAATCTCCCAATTTGGGATGATTTAAGTATATCTAATCTAATCTGATGAAGATCACTTAAAAGGTAGGGTAGGTAAGAATGGAGAAACCAGCTGGAGTGCGCTAGAATTTGAAAATACACATCCGGAAAAGAATCTGCCACTACCTTCAGACTTCCTTACAGAGCCCCTCCTCCAACACACACGAACGCGCACATGACCAATGAGGGCACGAGATAAGTTTGTGCACAGATGGAAGGCTGACAGGCAGGTAGGCGATCCAGTTATTTTAGCCGGGCCGGCTCAGATGATTGGTCGTGCTTTTTACAGCGCCACGGCTTCCACAGATGACATTTTGTTATGTATTTATTGTCAAAGCATTTCATGTATTCATTGCTATCGGGATGTTAAGAGCATTCCATGGAATATAACAAAAAGTGTTTCAGAAGTGAATTACCTACCCCACCTTTAAAAAAAAAAAAGGTAATCATATTTGTGCTAATACAATGAACCAAACGAGGCCACGTAAACTTGTTTGTGTGTTTTCCCTTAAGTCTCCTTTTCCCCTACCTTCATGTTGCCCCTCTTTCCTCCGTGACTCTGACCCCAGCCTCCAGAGTTATAGGAGGAGTTGTTCCCCTGGGAGCCGCTGCTGTTCCAGACTCCTCCCCCTCCATCGTCCTCCTCGTCCCAGCTGGGGTGACGGGAAGCTGCAACAGAGCTCTCTCCCTTCCCTCCCCAGCCCTCCATGGACTTGTTGCCTGAGGAAAAACCAAATCAGACGGTAAAAACACTGTCGGCAGTCATTGCTAGATTATGAAATGTTGTGGTTTTAAAATGCTGACACCATGATTAATTTAAAAAAAAACTTGATTAATTTGAGCATCCCGTCTCAAAAACGATAATGAGTATAACCAACTCTAAACTGATATATTGTGATATTTTGAATGACACACGTTTTTTTCACTTCTTACCAGGTTTGCCAGGGTTAGGTGAAGGGTTCCCCCAGCCAGATTTGCTGGGTTCCTCTGGTTCCCCCCAGCCCGACGATGCATCCGACGACTGACCCCAGGTATTCGCACCGTTATCCGCAGACTGTGAACTTCCTCCCCACATGCCTGGACCTGGAGATTGGGGAAATTAGAGACACATTAAGAATAGGGGTAAACGAGCTGACTTGATAGCAAGCTAATGTTGTCTACTAACACTGTGCCGTGACTATGTAAGGGCTAGTTTTAATCACGTTCAGCATTTGTGAGATAAAGAGACGTGTTGGTCAATCACCCTTATGTTGATTAGTTATTTTTGTTATCAATCTTCCATCTATTAGCCATATAGTCATCTATTCAGTGTCGTTATTACGTTGCTTTTGACAACCAGTGAACGCTTTTTTTTTTTTACAAACAACTGTATGCAGAAGAAAAATAGCTATTTAAATGGTTTTGGTTGGTAATAGTACATGTTGTTGTTACCTGCTGCAGTATTGCCAGGGTTTACGTCCCTGCTGTGCTGCATCCCCTGCTGCCTTCTGGGTGGTGGTGGTTGTTGTTGTTGTTGTTGTTGTTGTTGTTGTTGTTGTTGTTGTTGTTGGGTGGATGGCGGGGGGGGCCTGCTGACCAGGCGTAGCATTCTTTTTGTCCCACAGATTCACATTCTTGCTTTTGTAGCGGGTCGGGTCTCCCCAGGCTGACGTGCCGTCGTCGATCTCCATCTTGCGGCTGATGGACTGAGGGGAGGGCTCTTCCCAGCCGCTGGACTCCAGGGAGTCCACCGCGGCTCCGGGGACTTCGGGAATCGGGCCGGATGTCCAGCCCGAACTTTGGTTCTGATTCTTGGGAGGTGGAGCTCCACCCCCGACGTTGGACCGGCTGTTCCACCCTCCTTGAGCGGGACCTCCTTGAGCGGGACCTCCTTGAGCGGGACCTCCTTGAGCGGGACCTTGAGCGGGACCTCCTTGAGCGGGACCTCCTTGAGCGGGACCTCCTTGAGTGGGACCTCCTTGAGCGGGACCTCCTTGAGCGGGACCTCCTTGAGTGGGACCTCCTTGTGGCGGCGGGCCCTGTGATTGGTGCTGCTGTTGATTTGGGGCTTTCATTGGTGCCACTTGGCTGTTTGGTATCTGTGCTGCTGCTGTGTGGGGCTTGGAACTCCCCCAGTCCTGGTGAGATTTGCCTCCACCCACATCTCCCCCTCCTCCCCATCCTCCCCCCTGAGAATCATCTGAATGACCCCAGGAAGATCCCTTCTCGTCAGAGTGGTTTCCTCTTCTGCTTCGTCCATCTCCACCTCCAGGTATGGAGTCCCTCGGTCCCCTGTCTCCTCCCCAACCACCGGCTTCTCCTCTTCCACTGCCCTTCCATCCCGATGTCCCTTTATCCTCTGGACCGTCTGTCCACCCTGTACCCTGTTCTCCATAGTCTCTCCAGTTCCCTCCTCCTCCTCCTCCTCCTCGTCCTTCTCCTCCTCCCCGTCCTTCTCCTCCTCGTCCTTCTCCTCCTCGTCCTTCTCCTCCTCGTCCTTCTCCTCCTCGTCCTTCTCCTCCTCCTCTTCCTCCGCCTCTGTGATCACCCCACTTCTTCTCTTCAGTCCCCCAACCTTTGCCCTGGCTCTCAGGTGGGGGCTCACCCCATCCTCCAGCTTCTTCTGGCGCTGCTGGCTTCCTCGCAGAGCTACCACCCATGTGAGGACCAGAGGTGGTCTGTGGAGCCCCCCCCTCCCAGCCGTCCCTCGCTCCGGAGCTGGATGGATCGTTAGTTATTGAACTGGTGTTAGACGGGTAGCTGCGACTAGTGGTGGTGTTCATGGTGGACGATGAGAATGCGGAGGAAGATGAAGAGCTTCTTTCGTTTCTGCTTCTTTGTCCCGTCGCGGGGTCCAGGTCCCAGGCCACATTCTGTTTGATCTGGGTTTGCCCCCACCCGGTGTTGGAAAGAATCCGGGGGTCCAGGTCAGATCGATTGAGCATGCACTGTAAGGCCACGTCAGCATTGGAGGTTCTCTCGGAGGACGGCTGTTCGGACGAGGCTTGCTCTTGTTTATGTCCGCTGTCGCTCCCTCCTCCGCCACTTCCAGCTGTGGACCCTCCTCCGCTAGAGGATGAAGGCGCCCCAACTGCCGGGCCTCCCACCTGCCCTCCCCCCCACTCCCCATCCCCACTTTCCATCCCTTTCTGATTGTCCCAAGCTTTTGTCATAGTTGCAAACTTTGGTGAGGTGGAGTCCTTCAAAACGCCGCCGCTGCCTCCACTGCTGCTGCTGTTGCTGCTCCCGTCTCCTCCTCTTCCTATTGCTAAGTTGCTCGAACTTACACCTCCCGCCGTGCCCCCCCACTCCCCTTCTGAACTGCCTCCTTCCCACGCTCCCTGAGATACCGCTGTGGTATTTGAGCTACCATCGTTTCCCCTGCCCCACCCTCCCTTGTCACCCTGGCTTCCAAAGCCCCACACACTCCCGTCCTGCCCCTGAGCTCCACCTCCTGCTCCACCTCCTGCTCCACTTCCTCCTCCACCCCACCCGTCTGGCTGCGAGCTCCCACCTGCACTCGGGTCGGAGGACACCGGAGGCATGGATCTCCAAGAGGAAGAGGCGGCAGAGGAGGAAGACAAAGAGCCGACACTTCCTTCTCCTTCTGCCCCTCCGCAGTCCCGCTCTTCGCCGCCTTCTTGATTTGGTCCTCTTGAACCCGACTCCGGCCCGAGGTTTCCTAAGTGCTGCTGAGCTCCACCTACAGCTGTCTGTGTCTGATGGACGCTAGGCTGATTCACAGATGAAAGAGGGTGAGTGGTGATGACTGCGGTGCTGGCAGAGAACGAGGAAGCCGGAGTAATGGACGAGTGTAGTGGAAGTCCGTCGCCAGCTGGAGTCGACGTCCCACCCGTCGCCAGAGCGGGCCAGGCGGAGGGGTTCACATTGGGGTTGAAATTGGCACCAGGGACGCCGCTGTTGCTGCCGCTGTTGCCGCCGCCACCTGCGGGGCTCTCCTGAGGCCCGGGAAGAATATGGGAGACTTTGGAATTGTAAAACGCTGCCGACCCGAGCCCCGTCTCCGCCTGAGAGGAGGAGGAAGAGCTCCATGCGCCGCCACTCGACTGAACACATTCATTAAGCGAGGAAGAAGAGGGGGAAAGAGGAGAAGAACGAGGCGAGGAAGGATTGTCCATGTTCCCTGCTCCTCCTGCTGCTGCTGCTGCTCCCTTCTGCTGGATGTTTCTCTCACTCCATGAGGCACTACTGTTGTTGTTTCCAGGGCAGTCTTGCTCCTGCTCACCTCCTCCTCCTCCTCCTCCGGCCCCATCAGAACTCAAGTTGGCCCCTCCTAGGATGCTAGGCCAATCCCCCAGGTCCGTCCTGTCCACTATTACCTTCCCGCAGCCCTGAGAAGAGGACTGGCTGCCCGAGCCCGCCCCCCAAGTGGAATTTGCATAAGTTGAAGTAGTAGTAGTAGTAGAAGAAGAAGACGACAGAGCAGCGATGCATGATGAGGATGAGTTGGGGGGTGAAGTGGAGGATGAACCCAGGTTGGAATCTATGGAGACAAAGTGGAGAACATTTATTTGATGGACAATTTAAGCATTTTCAACACCAAATAGGTAGCAAATGGTTCTCCTATAGAGTACCACAGTGACGCGTCCTAAAACCAGGAAGTAAACTCCTTCCGGTTCCTTCGACAAAATCGCAATGCAATCTCTCCATAGGATTTTGGAAAATAGCTCGAAATAAGGTCTGTGGTTGACACGCATTTAAGAGACGGATCACGTTTTGTTCAGCCGGATAATATCCACAAGTCTACCCTACTTTTATAATTTTCTAATCATAAATCTAGTCGCCAGAAGCAAACGTTATGCTATAAACGAACTACAGCAGGGTCGCTGCTTCAACGTCACGCCAACTTAAGATCCATATTACTTCATAATTTAGATGACCAAATATGTATATATGCTGACAGTTATTTTACTCATCTCCTATTTCATAGTCTTTTATTATTATTATTTTAATTTTTTTCTTGATTTTATTAATCTGTGTGAATCTTTGCTGTCCTGTTTTTCACGCTTACCCGGTTGCTGCTTGTACAACTGAATTTCCCCACGGGGATTAATAAAGGTCCATCTTATCTTATCTTATATTCAAAAATACAGATTCTAAATAGTACAAGTTGAAGCGTTTGTTTGAACAGTTTGCAGGAGGCAGGTACTTGCTTTCAAGCAGAACACGGGGAAACAAACTTAGCGGGAGTGTTTACGTGTTCGGTGTAATGACGTACAACGGCCTCGACAACTTCTGTAGTCCTATTCAGCCACTTGTTAACAACCATCGTTTTTCAGACACGTCAACTCTTCAGAAATCACCAGTGGGGTCACTGCTGATGTATTTAATGTCGTAGAACAAAACGTGATCCATCTCTTAAATGTGTCTCAACCACGACCTTCTTTCAGCTATTTTCCTAAATCCTATGGAGAAATTGCATTGGTTTTTGTCGAAGGAACCGGAAGTGGTAAAATGCTAACTTACTTCCGGGTTTTAGGACGCATCACTGTGGCACTCTATTACTAACAATTATTAGTCAGTTCAGTGAGTACATATTATTGTTGCCACTTAAAACTTAATATATCTAAAATTGTAGGGATTTTTGGTGACCAGTGTCCCTGCTGCTACAGACCCAGGTTCAAATCCAGCCTAGGGTCCTTTTACGCATGTCATCCCCTCTATCTTACCCTTTTAAATCTCTCTAATGTCAACTGATGGATTGGATGCTGTTGTAAAATTATGTTAAGAATCAGAATCAGTTTTATTTTAAAGAGAGGTTAGCCCATACAAAGAATTTGCTTTGGTGTATATAGTACATACATAAGCACAGTAAAATAGATTAAGTATTAAAGATCAAGAAGAAAGAAAAACAAGATTTTAAAAGATAAATATCTACACAAAATATAAATACATAAAAATCTGAAAAAGTTGTTCAGAGCTGTGCAGATGTTATATTGCTGTTTGATCAACTGTAAAGTGGCCTTTCTAAAAATGTATTGTTCAGTGGACTTCATATCAAGCTCGATCATCTTCTTCTAGGGCTGTGCAATTAATCGTATTTTAATCCAGATTACGATTCTGGCTTGCAACGATTACGAAAACAACGTAATCGAAATAAAAAGATTATTTTTTTGTCTTGCATTATACATCCTTTTTTTTTTTTACGTTCAATAAATGGATGTTTTCAAAGTCAATGAATAATCGTATTTAATAATCGTGACATCAATATTGACCAAAATAATCTTGATTAGGATTTTAGCCATAATCGAGCAGCCTATCTTCTTCCGAGACATTAACCCACCTGCGCCTCCAGCTGTGTTTACATCGGCTCCCTGGGAGGAGAGCGATGGGGCGCCTGCCCAGCCACTGCCTCCTCCAACACCCCCGTCCCCTGCGCCTCCCCCCAGTAGCATGGAGGACAGCGGCGGCTGGCCCCTCTTCAGTAGCACTTTATGGTCCTGCTGGCAGCGAAATCTCGGCGGAACCTCTTTGGACATGTATCGCTGCTGTTGGGAGGTCTGGCTTCCAGAGGGGGAGGAGGTGGGCTGTCCGTTGGCCACAGCAGTCCGCTGCTTTGCATTGTTCCCGCCACCAGGAGGAACTTGTGCAGAAACCCCGGCTGCACCAGGACTGGGAGACGAGGGGGCAACAGGGCCAGGGCTGGGGGACACTGAGCCTGGGGTGGCTAGAGCCTGGGAACAGGAGGGTTTGGCTGATTCTGGCACTGAAATACACAGAAAATAAAATATATTCAAGGATTCAAGGCTTTTATTGTCATTTGTGCATAGCTACAGTGTAGTTATGACAATGAAAATCTTAGGTCACAGGCTCCTACAACAGTGCAACACAATAAAACAGATAATAGTGCAAGTAAATAAAATAAAATATAATATAGTAGAAATAGTGCAGAATAGTCTATATACAAGTAATTGGAATATTGATATATATAAGTTGCAAACGGATGAATGTATGAGTATAATGATGACAAATTAAAATAAACATACCTTTGATTTTCTGTTCTGGCACCTAAAAGACAAAGAATAAGTGAGTAAGATCAAAAAGGCAGAACATAATTTGTTGGTAGCAAATAAATATGATACACCAGGACATATACTAGCAAGGCAATATCCAAGCAAACATCACATGGCATGAATGCTCATTTTACAATTTCCAAGCATGAAAAAATCCTTCTGAAGATGCTAGTCCATAAAACCTAATACAATATTCCAATTCAACAAACACAGTCCTTGCCAAGAAAAGTGGTAAAGATATGTAAGCCAGAATATCATGTGCAAAACCAGGCAAAGTCAGCTGGGAATTTTCTGTGAACTTGTTTACCTTCTGAGAGGTTTCCTTTTTCTTTTTATCTTCTTTCGTCTTGTTCTTGTCTTCCATGAACTACTGTTCCCTTTCCTGATTCTCCTGTCTGTGAAAAGCAATGTACACATTCAATTATGTATGTAACACACACAGAGGCACACTGATAGTAATGTTAAGCTCACAAAAGCACATATTTTCACACAGACACATCCACACATGTATATATACACACACTTTCACTCCAAAGGAATACGGATTTCATCTGATGACAGCTAAGTAATTTACTACATGGCCAAATGTGTAAAGGACTGTAATGTTAACCAGGGGCGGCCAGCTTGACAACAGCCCTTGGTAGCCTAGCTTCTCACTGCATAATTCATTAACCAGCAAACGATTGCAATCCCAACCAACAGACAATGCAGGCAGCGGCCAAACAAGTGACTCTAAACACTCCAACATTTCTGGTAAAGACCAGCTCTTCTGCATCACAGTGTAGACTATAATAGCAGCATGATCCACAGAATACTGGCTTTATTGTGAGTATATGACTGGATCTGTCCAGTGTTATGACAGACCAGTATAGTAAACCTATTCGACATGCAATTACACAACTCAAGTCATGTAAGCTTATTTTGTATAAAGCAAAACAAACCATAGGAGCTTTCATTAATGTAAATTATGTATATTATTTTAATGTGGAAATGTAAACAGATATTAGAAACCTAAGAGCTGTAAATGCAACTGGGCCCTGTTAGCTAAGCTGCACATAATTAGCATCATGTCACTCAACGCTAACGTAAGCTAGCTGGACAACGTATGGCTCCTCTAACCCTTCACTGTATCCCAAACAGATTCACACCTGGCATGACCTTAAATAGTCAGTTTATGTATTGCATGTATCCCCTAAAAAAGCAGATGTTTACAACCACTTTAGGAGCAAACAGTGAGAATATTATGTAAATAACAGGCCAGTAAGGAGCAGCTAACAGAGCTTCACTCGAGCTAGCAACTAGCTAATGCTAACCGACTTCAAAGCAGCTGAGGGGCCGTGTGCAGTGACCTGAGAGCCGGGGGCTAGAGGAAGTACTTTGCCCTAAAGCCTGGTGCCTGCTCCGTGGGACTAAAAACTAACCTCTACGCAGTTGACTACAAACAAAAGCACGTCGTGTTATTTAAAGATATGTCCCCATATATAGTCAAACAGAGATAATCCCATGTACATACTTTATACCAGAGGTGGAAAAAGTACTAAAATTGTGTAGTTAAGTAAAAGTAGAAGTACCAAAGAGCAGGAATTCTCTGTTACAAGTCCTGCATTCAAAAATCTTTATTAAGTAAAAGTATTAGCACCTAAATATACTTAAAGTACAAAAAGTAAAAGTACTGTGCAGATTGGCCCATTCCAGAATAATGATATGTTTTATAATGATTGATCATTAAAGTGTTATCAAAGCTGGTAAAGGTGCAGCTAGTTTTAATGACTTTGTATACTGCAGGGTAGCTTGTGAATTTACTCCAGGAGTAACTAAAGTCTGATTTAAGTGTTGATTCCAGATTTCATATCATTAATCCATATCTGTAAAATAATTCAAAGGTATTAAATACATGTAGTGGAGTAAAAGTACACGATCTACCTCTGAATTAGAGGGGGTAGAAGTAGTATCTCAAACTTGTACGTAAGTTCTGTACTTTAGTAAATGTACTTAGTTACTTTACACCACTGGTGTATAGTAGAACAGAGATAATTTAATTTACGGTAATTATTCGTCTATAGTCGAACAGATATAATTTAATTAGCCTACTTTAGGGTAATTATTCGCAGTGCTGTAAAGTAACTAAGTAGATTTACTCGAGTACTGTACTTAAGAAAAATGTTGTGTTAACGCACCTGGCAATAAACTCGATTCTGATTTCATTTACATTCTTCACGGTAATTATTCGTCTACAGTGGAACAGATATCATTTAATTTACATACTTTGCGGTAATTATTCGTAACTTTATAGTAAAACAAGTGAGGCTGGTTCATAACGATAACGGTCGACAGGGCCAAATCAAACGACGAACTTCAGTGACGTTTCTTCAGCATTGCAACAAGCTACATAAACTGAGAAACACTAATGTTACTACCGGTTTAAACGCGAAATATCCAACGTGATTAACAAGCAAATACAATATGAAAGCTACGTTAATGTTAAAATACTCACCTCGGGAATCACATAGGACATAAAGTGCTTCTGTGCAAAAATTCTTGCAGACCCACCGCTAGCAGGCTAGCAAAGGTAGCTAGCCTAGCGAGCTAGTTCTTCGAGGCGTTCAAGGCTAAATTGAATAAGAAATGACATCACCGAAAGGATAATCGTAGAAAAAAAACGAGGAAAAGGCGAGTATTCCTTTTTGTGAGCGACTGTAGTTCTCACGCTGTAAACAAAACATGCATAACCCCTTGATGACTGTCAGACGCTGTGTGATCGGTTAGTTTGCTATCGGCCATTTTGCTTCTGTGTGGAGGCTTTAGCAGCAAATGATATCACGGCTGGTTGTTGATCAGAGAGGGGAGGAGGAGGAGCGGGCACGCGCCACCAGGGGGCGTGCTGACACTGTAAACACGACGTCATACACGCGGATGCACGGTGTAAACAAACATTTCTGCTGTGGGTGTGTAGAGACACTTTTGGAATAACCAAACTGTGAAGTGTTTTTTTTGGGCAAAACCTTTGTGCTCTTATAAATGACAATATTGTAGAGACGTTTATCTTGCGTTTGGGTTTGTTCTTGGAAAATAATAATCAGAAAAACACTATATTTCATTACAATAAATGTCATTACATTTAATTTAGCATTTGCTTTTATTCAAAGCGACACACATTGTACGTGCTAGTTCAATGGCTTCAATTAAGCCACACCTCTCTACGTATTCTTTTTATGTTATTGTATTGTTATTTTAATTAGCCGAGGTTAATGTTGGTCTGGTTGTCTGCAGTTGAAACAGGTGTGTTTTCAGTCTGCTACGGAAGATGTAAATGATTCATCCTTTTATGATAATTGCTAAACTCCATATCCATATAACAAACAAAGACTACGACACCTCTGTTGTGCAATAACACTTGTGTGCAATATGTAAATTTTTTATTAATTTTAAATATTATGTGCATGCCCTTTCTAATAGTGTTTTTATTTGTTGTCCCTATCTCCACTTTTGAGGTAAAAATGTAAATGTCCCTTCTGTGGGACAAATAAAGGTATTCTGATTCTGATAAGTTTATTAGAAAAGACACCATGCTTTATTGCCTTTAGCATCAAGTTAAAATATATATTATTTAAATTCCCCACCCTGCCTGTTCACATTTAAACTCAAGCATAACACATTTGTATATATATATTTGCTTTTGTTATCCTTTATCATGTTTTCAGGGCCCATCTCTTGAAATGGATGTTGCTAAACGCTCTTAAAAATGAGTCTGACAGAACTCTGTAAAAAAAAATGTGATAAGAAATAAACAGCAAAAAAGTTGCAACCTTAAAGTTTTATATTATTTTGCATTAAAAAAATATAATAAAAGGGACAGGATTTGTTTAATGAGAACATAGAACTTCTTAAAGTGGGAATACAAAAAAATCCAGTCTAGTTGGTTGTGTTTCAAGTATTATTTCCTCATCAAATGCTCATGCATTGCGTCACTGCTGTCATAGTTAAATAAAAACGTTAACAATTAGACCAAGTCTGAAATATTTGAGCACAAACATGAATTCAAAACCAATATTTTTGTATTAATTTAATATTGAAACTGGTTACAAAAAAATTGCAATAGAAATCAACAGACCATTTTGTCATTGTGGGCTACACTCCTGCTGTACAGTTTAGTGTTAATACAAATGCAGCATTTGCTGACTTTCAGTCATACACAGAAATGATTTTTCTTTCTTTTAAGAAATGTGTGTTTTTACCAAAACAACTTTATCAGTTTGATACTTTTAAGTATTTTAAGTAAGCACTATTTCAGACCAAGAAGAACACTTTCTTTACTGCGTATACAAAATGTGGATAATCAGATTTGCACCCTTCGCTACATGCCGCTTACAACAGAATACAATCCCAATTTATATGTGTCCCCCCCCCCCCCCCCCAATGTCCTCAAATGCCCAAACAGTGGGTATCTTGTGTGACCCCTTGAGCATTGCTCCTAAAGTTTGTAGGCTTATACCGTTTTAGCTGTCTGAATGGAAACAAGTTAAATGGCATTATGAAGGATGTTCTTTCCTTGTGTTGGTCAAGTTTCTGTTTTACATTTTTTCACTTTATTTACATTGTAGCCAGTCCAGCTTGGCTATATAGATGAACATTTTAAAAATATATATGTTTGTATGAATGTACAAATGGGGCTTCCTCTGAGACAACACATACATTGATCTTGGTCCCTCTCTTCGAATAGCAGAATGATCCAACACCATAGTTTAAGTGTCTAGAGAGAAACCTGTCTCATTTAGACAATTGTTAGCAACCGCCATTTTAAAATTCACTAGTGGGGTATTTACTGATGTGTTTTATGTCATAGAAAAAAACTTGAAAAAATCTCTTCATCTTGTGTTAACCACAGATATTTTTTCACGCATCTAATCAAAAACCATTGACTTCACGATGAGGGAGCCAGAAGTGTCAACATGCTAACTTATTCCCAGGTTTTAGGACTCATTCCTGCACCTCTCCATATCCACATTCTTTTATTAAGCTGTCTTTGGCTCTGTTCTGCTGTAACAATGTAAATGTCCCCTCTGTGGGACTAATAAAGGTATTCTGATTCTGATTCTGATTTCTCTCTCTACTGCAGTCTATCCAGCTCGATCCAGGCCACCGCCCTCTGCTGGCTGTGGATGGTGTTGCAGATGGCGGCCAGCAGCTCGTCCGTGCAGCTCCAGGCGCTCGGCTCCAGGCTGAAGTAGAGCAGAGGAAGGGTCTCCAGCTGCAGCTCCTCCGCCTGGCACACCTCCTCCATCACACTGTCCTCCCCACACCGCGGGAACAACTTCCTATTATCAATTGAAGATGCAGCAAGTTAAAGGAAAATACTTTGAGCTCTTCAAACAAATGTATATCTGTAAGGTATGAACATTTGCACATCGGTGTGTATGGTGCATCTGTGCCAAGTGATGCGTTTAGAATCCAAAGCTTACTTACTTTAGCACTTAATTCACTATACTTGCAAGCTAATGGATGCACCCTTACCTCAGCTTCTTGTTCTTTTTGTTCTTAGGGCGGATATGGATGACGATGGGGTAGATGCCCTGTCTCAATAAGCCTTCAACACTGTGCAGCCCCAGCTCCAGCAGACAGTGCTTGTCCTGGAATAAAAAGGGAGATTTGAATAATGTTTGACAATATACATTCATTATTATACCATGATTGTCTCTTTTCATAAATTGAACAGTTGAACTAGCAATTAATCTACTTCTTACTTTTACCTCGAGAGACATGGGATGTTGGTGCCTTGAAATGACTTTTTTTTAATGTTTTTATTTCCTTACCTGGCTGATGACCTCCTGTATCGACTGCAGCCGTATTCCCAGAACCTGCTCGGGAATGCTGGAATCCAACAGGAACACTTTCTTGTCTCGTTTCTCTGAAGCCTGGATAGGTTCTGCAGACCACAGGAAACAGGAGGAGAGTGATGAAGGTCAAAGGAAGAATCATCAACCTTTTTGTTTAGTGTTTGGGCAACAGCAGGAGCCATTTGTGTTTGTTGTTCGTATGTCATTATTTTGAAGGTTTATAACACTTGTTGGAGGTGATTAGATGCACAGGGATGTCATTATGGGGGCCACAAATTACAGGAAAGGAGGGCACAGTTTTTATCAGACCTGCAGACAACCAGACCAACAGAGCTACATTAACCTGAACACCACTCTCTTGCAGAATTGGTGATGTACAATAACTTCAGTTAACTTCAAACTGCATCTAACAACTGGAAAATATTAAGTTTGTGTCCGAGTACGATCACTACCACCTACCTTTGTAAGAAGGAAAAGAAGAAGTATAAGAACTGCCTTACAGGCATCATGTGTGTAGATAAGTGTGTGTGTGTTAGTGCACATACCTGGTGGGCAGGTGTTGAACTTCAGACCAGACTCGGCAGGTTGCAGCAGCCTCTCGATGAGACCCCGAGAGAGAAGAGAGGGGGAGAAGATAACCGGCCTCTTCGTCTGAACCTGCACCGGCTGCACCAAGCTGTACGGGATCAAGTGCTCCTCGTGACCTGAGGGGCACACATACACACATATTAAACTAATTGTAATAATTACAAAAATATGACTTATCCCACAGATTTAGTTTGGCATTTTGGGGAAAATGTTGGCGGGATCTTACGTTTGCTGAGTGTGTAGAGGACCTGCTTTGTGGAACCATTCCCACGGCCACCGGGATCCACTGCCTTGACTAATCGTACACGACAGGGCGCTTTCCTCAGGAACTACATGTGAGAAAATGTAAGATAAGTAAACATATGTTAGCTGTATGATAGCAGTTCTGTAATAGTCTGGTTTTGGCACTGTACACATGGATAAACAAAGGAAAACAGATCATATACATTTGACATAAAAAGCACCAGTTGCGCCATCTTTCCAAGATGAATTGCATTGCATTTCTACATTTATGTTCATGTCATTGTAAAATGAGCAGACTTACCTTCCTCTTGAAGTCTTTTTGCTCCAGCGCCATTGTTCGTAACCTTACAAGTAACAACTGTTGTGCCCTGAGATGGAACATATATACTTGTTATTTACACATACTCAAAGTTCTGCATAGTTTAAATACAGTAGTATTTTCTTATTTTTAACATACCACATTAAGGCTGCACAATTACTCCACACGTTATCAAATTCTCAATATGGACTGGTGCAATGCACAAATCACAGGCTAAATATGTGTTAGAAATACTATTTTGAATGAAGTTTTGTCGAGCTGCTGAAGAGATATCATGACCTACAAATAGTATTCAAAATATTTTACAAAGTATATGTGTATGGTACAGATCCTCTCAATAAAAAAAAAAATTTAAAATAATTAAATGCAAAATGGTCAATTTCTCCAATATCTTGAATCACATTGCAGTATCAGTCAAAATAATCTCAATGACTTACTTTTTACAAATTGTGCAGCCCTACACTATACAAACTATAGTATTGATAACAAAATCCACAACTGCTAGAATTCTAAAATAATAAATAAACAAAATAAGCAGTGAAATGGAGATCTCTTGGCGTACCTGTTGTAGTTGGGCATGGTTCCTGCCTGCAGGGCCTTGGTTGTGCGTGGATCCACCAGGGAACAGTGCCAATTATACTTCTCATTGTGTCTTGTGTCTCTGACATGTACGATATCATCACAGGACACACCCAGAGACGGAGGGTCCCCGTGAGGCTCCATGTTGAGATTGACCCGCACGTAGAAGGAGTCGACGCCTTTAAAAGAAGGCGAGGAGAGCTGGGAGCACAGCTCGGAGTATCCTGAG